TTCAGGAGTTGCTTGGGAGAATATATTCTTATTTTCGTTTTTAAATATCTGTCACTTCTTTATTCCCCTCTGCCCTTTACAATGGTCTGAGATGTGGTTCAATAATATTTGGGACAGAGCTAGTTCAGAACTGGGCTTAGAAGAATTGCTAATGGGGTTACAAAGGAAAATACCTTTGACGAAACGTGGTCTCCCTTCTTTTTATACATAAGGGAAGAAGAAAAGAAAGCTCTCCCAGCAGCCTCACAAACCTGTCTGTGGAGAACCTATTATGTACTGCCAATGTTTTAAGACTGCGTGAAACAATATTTGCCTGGCACCTGCTTCATATAATACAGGTAGGTGGTTTAAAAACTATTTTATTTTCTCAGGTTTGGCTGGCTTTGTGACTGCTTTGTTACAATATGTTACAATATGTATTGCTTTGTGCTGTATTGTCTGTTTTATTGAATTTGTATGTAGCCATTTTTAATTTATTTATTTTTTGAACCAATTGTCTGTTGAAGCTGCTTACTTTGGCAAAAAAGTAGCTTTCCACACCTCATAACATATAAACAACACTTACTGAGATCTGCAAAAAAACCAAACACGCCAAGTTACTAAAATCCCTCACCTCCACGACACAGCACCTCTCTTCAACTCCACCACAAAGCCCAGGCAATTGCCTATGCAAGAGAAGGTGACCCAGTATGGAAAGGATGCCCATTACTTCTGCACAGGATCTTCCCCAAACATCCACACACTCTTCCCTTATTCACAGCTCTACTGGTTTCCAGTTTTCCCTTTGCTCAGACTGAATTATGGATTAAATTAAAGGGATCCTTTAAGGCCAACCCTTATTCTTCACTGTTCCCAAGGCTGTACATGGGTTCTACCGATTTCCCTTTGTACCGTTGTCACGGGTGTCCATGAAGACTCCCATTTAATTTTAGACTGCAATACCCTTCAGGTTAACTGTCTTATACCCCTGCTCTGCATTGCTGCAATATGGCTAAGACACTATCCTGTTCTGAAGAAGGGTGGCTGAAACCCACCCCACCCCAGTTTAGGTAGCCGAGCCAGTCCACACCCTCTCAAGCAATTTTCTTCTCTACCCCCCACTCTAACAAGACCACAGTGATTTTGGTGACAACAGCACCCAAAAAAAAAGTGGAGGGAGGTTAAAATAGGCACAACACTATACCAGAACCTAGATTGAGATGCAAATCACCACCATCAAGTTGATCAGCTGATTAGTGGAAAGGTGGCAATAAGCCCTTTACTTAAGCTAGTGTACGGGGTGGGGGGTGGGATGTGGCCCCCAGAGAGCTGGCCAAGGTTGAATGCATCCCTCAGACCAAAAAAGGCTAGTCACCCCTGGTTTAGATTCAGTTGCCCAAAGCTACACTTAAAATACCAAGATATTAATGAGAATTACTTGCTCTTTCCACCATCACTCAGCACATCCTGAGCTATTCCCTTTCCCACTCTTACAACTATCTGTGTGAGAAGTTACGTTGGAGAAAGCAGGAAAGGGATTGCAACACAGCACTACTATCCAGCTGCACACCGATACACTAAGGGTGCAACCCTAACCCTGCTTACCTGGGAGGTAAGCCCCACTGAATTCAGTAGTACTTACTTCTGAGTAGATATGGTTAGGCTTGCCGTGTAAATCATCGTTTCATAGGCATTTCAGAGTACCAGTGGGAGACTTTCAACAATATTCCTGTTTTGCAATAGGAGACCGAGACAGAGAATTTGCCTCAAATTCAGCCCACAGCGGTTCCTCTGCCACAGAGCACCAGATCCAGAATTCTGGTCCAAATCCCCCATCATCTTCTTCCACCACCTGCACGAATTCATTTCAGTAATAACAACTTAGCATTTATAATAGCACTTTTATTGAGTATTCACAGGGCTTCGCATGCGATCTGTGCGCAATTCTTACAGGAACCTTGTTAAGTACAGCTTTATTATCCCCATGTTGCTGATGCGAGACTTGAAGCAGGGAGAAGAGCAGTTAGCCTAAGGCCACTAGGTTCACGGTCATGGTAGAAGCTGAAATGGGGGCTTCCTGGCTTCGAGCCATTAAGCCAGTTCTTAAGACCAGTGCAGGGGGGAAGAAGATCAAGTCAGGCAACTTCCATTGCAAAAGGGGCCACGGCTATAACTGCTGGAGCTGCTTAAAAACCTGGATAATATCCAAATGCCTAAATGGAAGCAGTGCAGTTGCAGAACACTTTCGGGGCAACTGCAAAGAGAACAGAATAGAAACAGTACATTTCACAAAAGGCAAAGCCTTCTGCGGAAGATGAAGGCCGCTGCATGTCTTTAGTTACATTAAAACCTGAAGTGTGCGCCTGTTTCTCATCCAGAATGTTCTCATCTCTTGAAATTAACTCAGATCAAGGCTGGTAATATGTACTCTGACTTTAACTGAAAACATGCTTGCTACACATAGCTGATTACTAGACAATACAAATAACAGTTTGCCATAAACGACAGTGGAAGAAGGCTGCTGTTTTGAACCATAATTTCTAGCATCTAATTAATATGGTTGCACCAATGTGTCTACACTATGAGGAACGGGCAGCAGACCCTGGATCGATGGTCAAATGTTACAGAACATTTATGTGCCAGCCAAAACCTTCCTCTTCTCCCAGGCCTCTAATTAGACAATTGATAGCCTTTTAAATGGGAGGGGGAAGGTAACTGTTTTGTATGTTATTATGTTATGCATTTTTGTTTGATCCTCAAATGAAGGATGGTATAGAAATGCAATAATAATAATAATAATAATAATAATAATAATAATAGTAGTAGTAGTAGTACCATTTATGAAGGCATAATACAAGATCTATTTCATCTGTTATATTTTCCAGGGAGATTTATTGGAATGTTTTAGTGCAAGTCCTTTGCTGTTATGGTCTATGGCTAGATATAAGTTTTTAAAATCATTTGGAAGATATAATATGCATGCTTCACGGTGACTCGTTGAGCCCTTCGTGCACAACATGATACAGACTTCTTGACACAGAAATAAGTCTCCATGCATATATATATATTTTTAAAGATGCGCCACAATGTTGAATAGATCCATTAGATCTGGGGAAAACAAAAAGCTCATCACTTTCAACGCCATTAAGATTAGTACTCTTATAAAATCAATATTCCACAAAAGACTATGTATGAACCTAGATTCCTTCAGAGGAGCTTCTCTTTTTGCTGCCAATAGTGAGGACTGCTTCAATTATTTGTTTGTTTGTAAAATGCACAGGTGTGTTTTACTTCATGCTACCATGACTAGGTGCGGTTCTTGAGAACGCATGTTGAATCGTATGTGCCAACTCCATAAATACTTTCAACCCAACCTATACATACCTACTCAGAAGTAGGTCCCTCTTTGTTCAGTGGCAATTAGTCGCAAGACAAATGTCTCTATTCCTATGTACTGCAGAATAGCCACAAAAACAGCACTAACTCTTTAACAAGGATGGCTTCCACACGGGTAAGTTCTGTTTCACTAACCTATTAAGATATATTTGAGAATGCCAACAAGCATATAGAGGTGATCCAGTTGACAGGGTGTACTTGGACTTCCAAAATACGTACAACGAAGTACATCACCAAAGACTCCTAGGTAAGCTTCACCGTCAGAGAATAAGAGGAATTGTCATTTGTGGATCAAGAACAGGTTAAGCAACAGGAAGCAGAAAGTAGGAATACATGAACAGTTCTCCCAATTGAGGGATGTAGAAAGTGGAATCCCCCAAGGACCGGTCCCGTGTTTTTCAATTTGTTTGTAAGTATATCTAAAACTAGGGATGAGCAGTGAAGCTGCCAGGTTTACGGGTGATACTAAATTGTTCAGGGTGGTTAAAACAAAAAGGGATTACAAGAAGCTCCAAAAGAATATCTCCAAACTGAGGGAACGGGAAGTGGCAAATGCAGTTCAATGCAAAGAGATGCACATCAGGGCAAAAAGTCTTACCTTATTCACATATAATGTTCATGGGGTCTGAACTAGCAGTGACTGACCAGGAATGAGAACTTGGGGGTCGCAGTGGACAGCTCAATGACTGTCGAACCAGTGTGTTTGGCAGGCATGTAAAAGACAAATTCCGCGCTAGGGATGATCAGGAAAGAACTGAAAATAAAACTGCCGGTATCACAATGCCATTATACAAATCTATTGGTGCAAATGCGCCTGGAATGTGGTGCACAGATCTGGTTGCTTCATCACAGAAAGGGTATCAGAGTTGGAAAAGGATCAGAAAATGGCAACTCAAATGAGGAAAGTTCACGACGTTTGGGATTTTTTTAGCTTTGAGACGAGGGGACACGATAGAAGTGTATAAACTATTATGCATGGGGCATGGAGAAAACCAGAGTGCAGAGGAAAGCTTTTATCCCCTTCTCATAACACTAGATTCCAGTTAAGTTGAATGTTAAGAGAAGACTCGGGGCAGACAAAATAAAATACTTCTTCACGTAGTTAAACGATGGAATTCACGTCCCACCAACCTGAATGGCTTTAAGATAGGATTCGACAAATTCATGGGCGATAAGGTTTTCAGTGACTACTATCTCAGACATCCCTACATCCACCCTAAGAGGAAATATACTTCTGAATACCAGCTGCTGGAAACCGCTGGAAGAGGGAGTGTTCAGGCTCTGCTACAGGCAATGAGGATAGCCATTGCAATAACAGGTTGATCAGTGGCCTGATCCAACAGGTTCTTATGATGTTCAACGCGCTATTGGTGCAGTACTAGTGCAATACTATAGGCGCCAATCCCAAGTAAGGGACCTAATTCCAGAAAAAAAATGGGACTGATCTAATCTGCTATCAAATTTGAAAACACACACACACCAAAAAAACCTAAATTTAAACAATGACACAAAGAAGGGCCCGAAGCTGGCGCTTTTCACACGATGCAAATGAAAAGTTTTAATGGTCCCTTCCATGTCACGGAGCTGCAGGACAACTTGATCGAAAACAGCATTCATGCACTCACCTCTGGCCGACAGCTTCTTGGTATTGATTATCTTCGCAGCGTACTCCTGGGATGATGTTTTTTTCACACATCTCCGGACCACTGAAAAAGCTCCCCTGGAACAAAAAGGAAAGGCTGAACCTGTGAAACTGGTTTAAACATGAAGTCCAAATTGAGCATTATAAACTGAAGGCAAACCAAAACCTCATTATCTACATCCAAGTATTTAGCCAAAGCCCATACTGAGTGGCTACAAGTATTTTAAAGGAACTGAAAACACAGCACTTCAAGAATTCCAAGTGAAGAGGATGAATAGAGGTGCATGAAAGGATGACTAGGGTGGGTACAAGAAGATTTGGTTCCCACAAAGAGTAGAGCTTTGATTATGAAGTTCTTTTGCAGGAGCTCATTACATCACCTAGACACACGCCTGCATCGTACACGTAAAATCTAAATAAAAATGATAATCTGATATGCAGACAAGAGGAAGGATTTTGCTGGTGTTTGCATTACCTCTTCTGTAGCGTAATTAATACATATTTATCAACGCAAGTTCAGCAAGGTGTTTGTGGCAAAAAGAGAGAGAGGGGGAAAGGTGAGTAGGTGCGCTGGTAAGGAAAAGATGCCAATTCAGGAAAAGATGCCAATTCCCAGAAAAGCAGGGAGATGTGGCAACAGAGTCTGGAAAACAGCTTTCATGAATGGTGACAGAGAGGACAGAGTAAGTGCAGGACAAAAGATTGGGGGGGGGGATCCACCAGAGCCTTTTCAAAGGGGGGAACGTTCCTCAGGTGCAGAAGGCAGCCTGCCTGCACCCTGAAACGAGAAACCAGCCAGAACAGCAGACAAGCACAAACACTCAAGGAAACAAAGACCAACAGAAACGGCCTGGTCTGGGCAGGAGATACATTTCTTTTCCACCTAATCTTCACCCACATCCATTTCTGTAGGCAAGTCAGAAAGAAGGAAGGCCGGTAAGGAAGATGAGAAGTGGTTGTAAAAGGGGGGGTGGGGGGGAGAAAAGATGCAGCAGCACTCAGGGACTGGTGCAAGAAAGGAGGACGACTCAAATGCAGCAGTACCTGGGGTGCATCTACCCCCAACCGCACACACACAATGTATTCATCCCAACCAGAATATTGGGCAAATCTCCTGCAGAATACCGAGGGAAAGAAAAACAAAAACATTGTATGTTTTAAGATCAGTGCTGGAGTAAATTTTTTTTTGGGGGGGGAAGCATTGGCACAGGGAACCTCCCTTGATGCATGAGAAATGCAGCAATGTCCCTTGTAGTGCAGAAATGAGGAGGGGGGAGGAAGAATCTTGGAAGTTGCAGGCTGCAGCAACAGCAGGGAGGGTGGCATTCAGACGGGAAAACAGTTCCTGGGTTAAAGCAGCAGTATCCAGCTCAGCAGTGGGTGGGATCCCCTATTTCTCGGGGCAGAAATAGCCCCCATCCTAGTGGGGGGAAGCAGACCCTCTGGACTGCTTGCCCCGGCTTCATTCCCTCCCTCGAGCTACTTCCTCCAACTGCCTTGGCATAACACAGCGGAGCACATTTCCTCCCGGGCTCGCTTCTGCAAAGCCCGGAGACCCAAGCGCCTCTGCTCCGGTTTAACGGAGCCGCAACACGACGGCCTACATTTGCGCGGATGGCACGGGCTACAAGGCTCCGTTCCAATAACAGGTAAGGGAAAGTCCGCATCGGAGAGGAAGGAGGGAGGGAGAGGCTCCGAGCAGAGAAAAGAGAGTTTGCTAGAAAGACTTCCTGAGTAGAAACTACAGTTAGTAGTAGCGCCAGAAGGGAGGGGAGGGCAAGGGAAGAGGAGCCCCCCAAGGAGCGGGGGACCCCAGATCGGGATCGGAGAAGGGGCGAGAGGGGATCCAAGGGGGAAGGCGGAGCAGCGCCCGGCCGCAATAACAGCCCGGCTGCCAGGAGCTGCGCCAAAGCGAGGAGGGAGGAGGAGGAAGACACCGGCGAGGAACGCCTGGGTTGCGTACTTGCCGAGCTCCTCGTACAGCTGGTATTCATCGGTGAAGCGGGTGCACGTTGCCGGGGAGGCCATGTTCGCGCTGCGGAAGGCGTTGCAGGCTCGGCGGGCAGGCACGCTCAGCGCCGCCGCCGCAGGGACATCGGACTGGGCGAGGCTGCGAGGGCTGGGACGGTCGTCTCCTGCAGGAGTTGCTGCTCCTCTCTTACTCCCTCGCTCTCACTACTTCGGCCTCCGTCTCCTCCTCCTCCTCCTGGCGGAGCTGGTGCCGGCGTGCCTCTCCGCCCAGCTGTGCGCTCCCGCCCGCTTCACTGCGCACAGTCACCGCTCCCCGCAGAAAGACGAGGAGGCGGCGTCGGAGGCTGAGCGCGCCCAGCACCGCGAGATCTTCTTCCCGGGGAGGGAGCCGAGGAGGAGACGCCGCCGCCGCCGCCTCCTTCTCTCGTCTCGTCGCCCTCCTTCCTTGCCTCCGCCTACCAGCCAGACCTCCCTCCCCAGAGGTGTGGCCGGAGGGAGCGCGGGCAGACTCGCCAGCAAGGGAGGAGCTGGGCGCGGGCTGCGCTTGCGTGAGGCGGCGGCGGCTGCTGCTGCTTGGTTTTCTTCACAGCGAAGGAGCCCGCCTTCCCCAGTCTCGGCAGCCCGAAGCGCTGCTTGCCTTCCGCCTCACAGACAAGAGGCACAGATACGCTGGTCGCGCGCGGAGCTTCCTCGAATGGAAGCGCGCCATTCGGCTCGGCGAGCGTTGCGCTGCCAAGTAAAGCGCAAGGCGGCAGCGCTTCTCTGAGGCGTGAGGCGCGTTTTCCCCTCAAGTCCCTTCTATAGAGGCTCGTGGAATGGTCGAGCTGAAAGGGACCCTGAGGGTCCTCTAGTAGTCCAACCCCCTGCAAGGCACCCATGACAGGTGGCCAGCCAACCTCTGCTTATTAAAAAACTTCCAGGCGAAAGTTCAGCTCCTATCTTCTTTTTTTAACCACCTCAAAACAGAACGGGGGGGGGGGAACACACAATTGAGCCCCCCAGGCCCTACATGGGAACTTTTAAGAGGGTTGGCCCGCGCTCCCCCCCCCTTTTTTGCAGTGACAAGAGAGGCGCCGCTGTCTCCCGCGCGCGCACGAGAGGCGGCGGACCGCAGCCCTGCCTCGCGCTGCCTGCCCGCGCCAATCGGGCGAGAGCAGACGGCTGCAGGCGCTTGGTGACTCTGGCTTTGCATACCCTGGACCGGATGCGCCTTGGTGGACGCGGGGGAGAGGGCGAGGGGGCGGGTCTCGTCGCTTGGAACGCCGTTGCCCTGATAGGACAGGAGGCTTCTCCGCCAGTGCAGGGTCTGCAAACGGGGGAGCTGGTGGCACTCGAGCAGGTGCAGAGGGCGCCCGCGCAATTATTTTGAAACGGGTTCTATATCTCGCGCAGGGACAGTATAGTAGCCAATGAGGTTGATCCGTGCGATTTTTGCTAATTGAATATACACGCACACATATGACATAACCCTGCTCTGCTGCCAAAAGCAGCTTTTTGGTGCAGCTTTTTAATGGATGCAGAATGAAACTTAAGTGCTGAAACCCACAGTGGAAAAGATAATCCGACCCAGGAAAACAGCATTTAACCAATAACAGTCCACGGCAAATTCAGCAACTGCAGAAAAGCAGCAGATCTTAGTAAACGGGTCTTAGTAAAGCTTTGTTATTATTATTATTTATTGAATTTATATACCGCCCTATACCCGGAGGCCTGAGGGCGGTTCACAGAACAAAATCAAAATATAAAACCACAAAACAAATAATCAAAACCATTGTGTGGGATGTACAACCTCAGTGCCAAATATGAAGCGAGACCTCCTGTCTGGTTCATTTTAAGATAGAAGCAGCAGCAGGAAGGTGGTGACAATAAGAATTTAGGGCTGGGGAACCAGTGTGGAGAGAAATGGTCATCATCATCATGATAATATGCTTCCCCTCTACAGCAACCCTGATACAGTTCAGAGCAGACTCATCCCAGCAGCTTTTTTAAAAACCCCACCCCCCAAAACCACCAATGTTAACATTGTTGTGGTTGGCTACATCATTTAGAAAAGTGATTTATCTGTTAAACCACACCTGCCTGCCTTCATTCTAACTTTCATAATTTCATTATCACTGTGTTATTTAAGAACATAACAAGAACGTCGTCTAATATTAATGACAATAATAATAATTTATATGCCACCCATCTGACTGCATTGCCCCGATCTGGGCAAAGCCTATTTAGCTCAGCATCTTGTTTCCCATAGCAGCTGACAAGCTCACAGACACATTGGGGGGCTAGTAATTGCCTTTATTTCATTGCAATTGCAATAGTCGCATATTATAATGCTGGGTTTTATTGCTAGCCAACGTGGATGCCAAAGGTCTGGCAGAAAGGCATATAAATACGTTCAAAAACAAAAAGCTTTACTTATATTGTTCCATTTCATGTTACAGGTAGTTGGGGGTTGCATATACTCCGCACCCCAGTTAGAAACCATTTGTCGATAAAATTTTATTTTATTTAATGTTTGCATAGGCAATAGGTCTTTTTTTTCCTAGTGACAACGCCCCCCCCAATAATAATTTAAGATCTGTGTTGTTTATTATGCAGATGGAAAGGACAACTCCAGTTAAATAGGTAGAGATGGGCACAGCTGCAACTCTGCTGGCCATAGTGGGATTGTATTAAAATGGAAAGCTTGAAGAGTTTTAAATAATTACTACAAGTCCATTTGGAACACAGCCCAGGACAGGACAGCAACGGAGCAACATGCAAATGCATATTAAGGCAGATCCTGCTCGCTTTGCTAGCAGACACAGAGAGACATGGAGACCAGCTGATGCAGCACAAGTCTCCAAAGAACAACAAACACATTTATAGTACCCAGTCATTTCAAGAGCTAGCTTTGTGGCAGGTATTTCAAAACGGAGCTGAAGGAATTGTTTTGCCCCTGTGCTCTGTTTCCCAGTTTCTCCTGTAATATTAAGTCCTTTTCTTCTCACAAGAAACTGATTAGGCCATGTCCAAGGGTGCAAACATGAGACTTTTCTCCCACCAGCAGAAGGCAGTGGCATGTTTCCTCACTCCATTTCATAGAATCAGGGAATCGTAGATACCACAAGGGTTGTCTAGTCCAACCACTTGCAAAGCAGGAATCTTTTAGCCAATGTGGAGCTCAAACGCACAACCCTGAGATGAAGAGTCTCATGCTCCACCAACTGAGCTAAGAAACATCTTCCACCGGGTCAACAAACCCCAGGGCAGTTCAGTGGTAGCGTCCACTGATGTGAATTGAAGGAGCACAACTTCCTTGACCTCTCACTCTCTGTTCCATGTTCTAGGCAAAGTAAGGCATGGAAAAGGGACATGGGTGGTGCTGTGGGTTAAACCACAGAGCCTAGGACTTGCCGATCAGAAGGTTGGCGGTTTGAATCCCTGTGATGGGGTGAGCTCCCGTTGCTCGGTCCCAGCTCCTGCCAACCTAGCAGTTCGAAAGCACATCAAAGTGCAAGTAGATAAATAGGTACCGCTCTGGCGGGAAGGTAAACGGCGTTTCCGTGCACTGCTCTGGTTCGCCAGAAGCGGCTTAGTCATGCTGGCCACATGACCGGGAAGCTGTACGCCGGCTTCCTCAGCCAATAAAGCGAGATGAGCGCCGCAACCCCAGAGTCGGTCACGACTGGCTCTAATGGTCAGGGGTCCCTTTACCTTTACCTAAGGCATGGAAAAGCAGGAACTGCAGGTTTAGGCGTAGTACAGCACTGTCATAGAACTTCCCATGCCAGCAGTAGTTCCACACAAAGTAAATAAAGAGGGGGAGCTTTTCCTAGGAGGGAGATAAGTGATGGGAAAAGCTTCAACTGCGTGAGTGAAGGTTACCAGTCGTCCCCATTTCCCGGGGACAGTCCCCAGATTTAGAAATCATTCCCTGTACAAAATCCATTGAAGTTGAAAAGTGTCCCCAGACTGAAAAAAATCTGGTAGCATAAGTTCTTCATGTCAACACCTCAAATGTGGAAGAGGAGCAGCAGAGAAAAGTGGAAACCCAAAGGTTAAAGGAACTTAAGGTAAAGGTAAAGGTACCCCTGCCCGTACAGGCCAGTCGTGTCCGACTCTAGGGTTGTGCGCTCATCTCACTTAAGAGGCCGGGAGCCGGCGCTGTCCAAAGACACTTCCGGGTCACGTGGCCAGTGTGACGAAGCTGCAGCTGGCGAGCCAGCACCAGCGCAGCACACGGAAACGCCGTTTACCTTCCCGCTAGAAAGCGGTACCTATTTATCTACTTGCACTTAGGGGTGCTTTCGAACTGCTAGGTGGGCAGGAGCTGGGACCGAAAGACGGGAGCTCACCCCGCCGCGGGGATTCGAACCGCTGACCATACGATCGGCAAGTCCTAGGCACTGAGGTTTTACCCACAGCGCCACCCGCGTCCCTAGTTAAAGGAACTTACCACAAACCAAAAGGCCCATGTAGACAGAGAAAGAAAAAAACCCGACACTTTCCCCCCATTATCGTAGCCAAACAAAATGAAAATTTCATCGGTTTTTATTTAGCTGCTAATTTTCCATATTAGAGAAGAGAACTTCTCACCAAATTATAAAATTGCTTAAAAAACCCCCAAACGGCTCTTCCTTGTTTTTCATGCAAATTGAGTGTGAACACACTAAATTGTACAACCTGTGAGATTACAGAATGTGCTTACAGCTACATAGGAAGTTAAGGTGGGTGCCTTAACTTACCATTTCCAGACTGTCTCTCTTAAAGGGAGGGCTTTTTGTTCCTGTGTTTTAGAATTTCCTTGCATTTTGAAAAGGAAGTTCACCTCCCGGCAGGTGAGTCACTTCTGCTTACTGGAAGTGGGAAGGGCAAGGCAGCAGTCAGGATAGTGTGCTGCAAAGACACCAATCCATCACTCCTGCCAGGGCCAGTTCCCCCTTCCCAACCCACCCCACTGTCCACTACCGTTTAAATGAGTTCTCTCAGCCATAGGGAGCAAAATTTAAGTTTTTGCAACTCTATAACATTTAGCATTTACGCTAAGCTTGAAGTTGTTGGAAGTCCCCCCCCCCATAGTAATATTTACATTAACATGTTTTTGTTTATCCCCCTCTTTTTTATCAACTTTAACTCTAGCAGCTCTTGAACTGCTACCTTGCAGAGATGCATGTGCCTCTAACCTAGTACAGGGGTTTACGTACACTCTTAATTAAAGGTATCAGGTCTTATGAACAAGGAATACTCTAGCTACCTAGTTGCCCAGCTAGGCAAATGGAGTGCTGGTCAGCAACTGCTTTACCAAAGAGCGATTCCATTTGCACTCCCTACTTACATCTCTCTGACAGCTGAGGAGCCAAAGTGGGACTCTTCAGAACTCTAAAATTTGGCCACAACGCATCCGGCTGCTGATCCCTATGCTGCAAGGGGAAGTTAATTATCTGAGTTAAAAGGTCACATCGCCTTTCCTTCATTGATGCGAGGAGTTCTGCACAAAGTGTCTTGTGCAAGGAATTTGGAGAGCCCCAATATTTCATCTTGTTCTTAAT